CTGATGTGGGACTGAATGTGAATGTACAATATATATGTAAAGTGCTGCGTAAATTGACGGCGCTATATAAGTACCTGAAATAAATAAATATTTTGGCGATATCAATAATTTTGCAGCAATAATCAGTTTAGCTGAAATCATGACCCTCATTTCTAATCTACGTGTTCTTCAGCAGCCTTTTCAGATGCATTCAGCAGGGGAGTTAAATAACAAATAAAAGAACATATTTCATATGTATGTATGTAGGTGTATTAAATACATGTATATATAAAGGCCATGCAGAGTGTACCGTGAGTCATGCAACCTTTGTATTTGCAACGTGTTCCCGGGTTTAGTTCTATATTTATCCAGTCACATATTCTACACAAAGCAGAAAGATCAACAAGAGCCCATTCAACACATTTTCTATTGCAATTGCAGTGAGTCATTTCAAGAAAAAAAGGCTCCATATTTGTGAATAACTGTGTGCTTACATATATATCATTTTTTATTTAATTAAACATACACACACTTTTTTTTATATACTTTTAAAATATTTTTTACATTTTTATGTTTTTTTTTTTTTATCTAAATTATTCTACTATTATTTCTATTTATCTATCTATACACACATATTTAAATCTATCTATCTAAATATTTTTTACTATTATCTATTTATCTATCTATCTATCTTTTAAATATTCACTATATCTATCTATCTATCTATCTACTACCTATATCTATTTACACACATTTTTAAATACGTTTAAAAATATTTTTTACATTTTTATTTATTCACAGTAAAATATATTATTTTTTTGGGGGGTGAATGGGGGTTGAATTGGAGTTGGGGGGGTGAATGGTTAAAACTCCATCTTTTTCTTTTTTCGCCAAATACACACACACACACACTGTTTTTACTTTTAAAAATATTTTTTACATTTTTATTTATTCACAGTAAAATATATTATTTTTCGGGGGGTGAATGGGGGTTGAATTGGAGTTGGGGGGGTGTGAATGGTTAAAACTCCATCTTTTTTTCTTTTTTTTGCTAAATACACACACACACACACACACACACACTGTTTTTACTTTTAAAATATTTTTTACATTTTTATTTATTCACAGTAAAATATATTATTTTTCGGGGGGTTGAATGGGGGTTGAATTGGAGTTGGGGGGGTGAATGGTTAAAACTCCATCTTTTTTTTTTTTTTTTTTTGCCAAAATACACACACACACACACTGTTTTTACTTTTAAAAATATTTTTTACATTTTTATTTATTCACTGTAAAATATATTATTTTTTGGGGGGTGAATGGGGGTTGAATTGGAGTTGGGGGGGTGAAATGGTTAAAACTCCATCTTTTTTTTTTTTTGCCAAATACACACACACACACTGTTTTTACTTTTAAAAAATTTTATTTTTTACATTTTTATTTATTCACAGTAAAATATAAAATTTTATTTTTTTGGGGGTGAATGGGGGTTGAATTGGAGTTGGGGGGGATGAATGGTTAAAACTCCATCATCTTTTTTTTTTTTTTGCTAAATACACACACACACACTGTTTTTTTACTTTTAAAAATTTTTACATTTTTATTTATTCACAGTAAAATATATTATTTTTTGGGGGTGAATGGGGGTTGAATTGGAGTTGGGGGGTGAATGGTTAAAACTCCATCTTTTTTTTTTTTTTTGTTGCTAAATACACACACACACTACTGTTTTTTACTTTTAAAAATATTTTTTTTACATTTTTATTTATTCACAGTAAAATATATTATTTTTCGGGGGGTGAATGGGGGTTGAATTGGAGTTGGGGGGGTGAATGGTTAAAACTCCATCTTTTTTTTTTTTTTGCTAAATACACACACACACACACACTGTTTTTACTTTTAAAAATATTTTTTACATTTTTATTTATTCACAGTAAAATATATATTATTTTTCGGGGGGTGAATGGGGGTTGAATTGGAGTTGGGGGAGGGGTGAATGGTTAAAACTCCATCTTTTTTTTTTTTTTCGCCAAATTCACACACACATACTGTTTTTACTTTTAAAAATATTTTTTTTACATTTTTATTTATTCACAGTAAAATATATTATTTTTCGGGGGGTGAATGGGGGTTGAATTGGAGTTGGGGGGGGGTGAATGGTTAAAACTCCATCTTTTTTTTTTTTTTTTTTTTGCCAAATACACACACACATACTGTTTTTTACTTTTAAAAATATTTTTTACATTTTTATTTATTCACAGTAAAATATATATATTTTTCCGGGGGTGAATGGGGGATGAATTGGAGTTGGGGGGAATGAATGGTTAAAACTCTTTTTTTACTTTTATTCACACTAAAATAATATATTTTTTTGGGGGGGGGGTGAATGGGGGTTGATTGGAATTTGGGGTAAATGGTTAAAACTCCATCTATTTTTTATTTTTTTTTTGCTAAAATATACACAGTTTTTTACTTTTAAGAAAATGTTTTACATTTTTATTTATTCACACTAAAATATTTTTTCTTTTTTTTGGGGGGGGGGGGAATGGGGGTTGAATTGGAGCTGGGGGGGGTGAATGGCTAAAACTCCATCTATTTTTTTTATTTGCTAAATACACACACACACAAACACAACACGTACACAACCACTTTCTTTTTACTTTTAAAAAAATAACATTTTTATTTATTCAAACTGAATTGGAGTTGGGGGGTGAATGGTTAAAACACTCCATCTAAATATATACACACACACACTTTTTTTTTTACTTTTATTCACACTAAAATATATATTTTGGAGGGGGGGGGGGGGTGAATGGGGGTTGAATTGGATTTGGGGGGTGAATGGTTAAAACTCCATCTATTTATTTTTTTTGCTAAATATATACAAACACACACACTTTTTTTTTTACTTTTTTTTACATTTTTATGTATTCACTATATCTATCTATTTACACACATTTTTAAATACTTTTAAAAATATTTTTTACATTTTTATTTATTCACACTAAAATATTATTATTTTTCGGGGGGTGAATTGGAGTTGGGGGGGGGTGAATGGTTAAAAAAAGTCCATCTATTTTTTTTTTTTTTACTAAATACACACACTTTTTTTTACTTTTAAAAATATTTTTTTAATTTTTATTTATGCACACTAAAATATCTTATTTTTGGGGGGTGAATGGGGGTTGAATTGGAGTTGGGGGGGGCAGGGTGAATGGTTAAAAGTCCATCTATTATTTTTTTTTTTTTTTGCTAAATATATACACACATACTTTACTTTTAAAAAATATTTTTTAAAAAAGAGGTTTTTTTAATTTATTCACATTAAAATATATTATTTTTGGGGGGGTGAAATGGGGGTTGAATTGGAGTTGGGGGGTGAATGGTTAAAAGTCCATCTATTTTTTTTGCTAAATATATACACGCACTTTTTTTTTCTTTTAAAAATTTTTTTTTTACATATATATAAGTAGATATATTATGTATTTTTAACAGTTTTTTAAATAACTTTTTAAAATATGGTTTACATTTTTATTTATTCATGTAAAAAAAAAAATATATGTATATATATATATATATATATATATATATATATATATATATATATACATACACACACACACACACACACACAAATACACACTGCTCAAAAAAATTAAAGGAACATTTTCAAAAACCCATCAGATCTCAATGGGGACAAATCTCCTGCTGGATCTCTATACTGACATGGATGGGTAATGTGTGAGGAACACAAGGACGCCCCATCGTTTGATGGAAATGAAAATGATCGACCTACAGAGGACTGAATTCAAAGACACCCCAAAAATCAAAGTGAAGAAATGATGCAGCAGGCGAGTCCATTTTGGTGAAATGTCATTGCAGCAACTCAAAACTCAGTAGTTTGTATGGCCCCCACGTGCTTGTATGCATGCCTGACAACATCGGGGGAGGGTCCTAATGAGACCACGGATGGTGTCCTGGGGGAATTTCCTCCCAGATCTTGACCAGGGCATCACTGAGCTCCTGGACAGTCTGAGGTGCAACCTGGCGGCGTTGGATGGACCGAAACATGACATCCCAGAGATTTAGGTCAGGTGAGCGTGAGGGCCATTCAATGGTATCAACTCTTCATTCTTCAGGAACTGACTGCATACTCTCCCCACATGAGGCCAGGCATTGTCGTGCACCAGGAGGAACCCGGGACCCACTGCACCAGGAAACCCCGGGACCCCCTGCACCAGGAGGAAAAAACCGGACCCCCTGCACCAGGAGGAAAACCCGGGACCCCCTGCACCAGAAGGAACCCCGGGAGCCACTGCACAAAAAAGGGTCTGACAATGGGTCCAAACATTTCATCCCGATACCTAATGGCAGTCAGGGTGCCATTGTCTAGCCTGTAGAGGTCTGTGCGTCCCTCCATGGATATGCTTCCCCCCAGACCATCACTGACCCACCACCATCATGCTGAACCATGTTACAGGCAGCAGAACGTTCTCCACGGCTTCTCCAGACCCTTTCACGTCTGTCACATGTGCTCAGGGTGAACCTGCTCTCATCTGTGAAAAAGCACAGGGTGCCAGTGGTGGACCTGCCAATTCTGGGGTTCCAATGGCATAGTGTTGGTCACATGACTGTCATTTTCAGCTTGTATTTTTATCATATGACCTCTTAAAGCACCATGAGATTTACCCTGATGTGTTATCTGCAAGACACCTCGCTGCCAGAAACGTTTTTTTTTTTGTGGTTAGGTTTGGCCATCCATGTACAATGTTACTAGTAGGACATGCTAAATATAGGGCTGGCATTTCACCAATGGAGCTTGTAGGCACACTAGTTTTGACACTTTGACAGCCCACTGCTAGGATCACTTTAAAAAAAAAAAAAAAAAAATTTAACAAAAAAAACACACAAACCAAAAAAAACACCCAAACCACAAAAACAAAAAAACCAAAAAAAAAAAAAACACAGAACAAACAAAAAACAGAAGCAAAAAAAAAAACCAAAAAGCAAAAAAAAAAAAAAAAACAAAACCAAAAAAAACAAAACAAACCAAAAAACAAAAACTACAAAAAACAAAAACCAAAAAAAAAAAACTACAAAAAAACAAAGAAAAACAAAAAAAAAACAGGCCATTCATGAGTTTCAGGCCTCAGTGACTTCTAAAATGATGGTAATGTGTAAACTTAACATTTATGAGAGTCTTTTCTATGGTGAAAATTTTTTGGCAAATTATTGTACAGAGAAGACACCTTTTATAATCTGCTGCCTGTATCCACTGAGCCTCCACTGAGGCTCAGTGGATACAGGCACAGGCACAAACTGCTGCCTGTATCCACTGAGTATCCACTGAGCCTGATGGCATAGCTGGTTGGCGTGAAATACACTATATGGGCCAAATATATAGACTCCTGAACATCACACCAGTGCCCAGGGCAAAGATGGCGAATTGCTCCCCCAGCAGAGTTTTACACCAGATGTCCCCAGCAGAGTCCCCCAGAGTTTACACCCCCAGATGTCCGCAGCAGAGTCCCCCTTTACATCAGACGTCCCCAGCAGAGTCCCCCTTTGCATCAGACGTCCCCAGCAGAGTCCCCCTTTGCATCAGACGTCCCATCAGCCGCCCCCAGCAGAGTCCCCCTTTGCATCAGCGCCCCCAGCAGAGTCAGATCAGTCCCCCCCCCCTTTGCATCAGACGTCCCCAGCAGAGTCCCCCTTTGCATCAGACATCCCAAGCAGAGTCCCCCTTTGCATCAGACGTCCCCAGCAGACGTCCCCTCAGTCCCCCTTTACATCAGACGTCCCCAGCAGAGAGTCCCCCTTTCAGACATCAAGCAGACGTCCGTCCCCAGCAGAGTCCCCCTTTACATCAGACGTCCCCAGCAGAGTCCCCCTTTACATCAGTCCCCAGCAGAGTCCTCATGCTCCCGCATTGTTCAGCCCCCCCCCATCAGACGTTCATGCTCCCATTGTTGCCCCCCCCCCCCCTCCTTTTCCCCCTTGGTAATCCGTGTCTCCTTCCTCTTCGGTCACATGACAGGGGAGAAAGGGAGGATACAGTCTGCCCACTTCAGTGAGGCGCTGATACTGAGGACAATTGTCAGCGTTGGCTCTTTTCCACCCCATGGAGGCTGGAGAAAAGAAAACTGAATCCTTCCTCCAGCAGCTATCAGCCGCTGCTCCTAACAGGAGCAGGACAAGTGGCCAATGCATACCACCACCCCCCCCCCCAAACTCAACACTGTGCCTGGGGCAGGTGCGTGCATGCTTGCCCCCCCCCCCCCATATATCCAAAACCATGCAGAATCAAGCACAGACATGCAACGTTCATTGACAGACAATTGGGTATGTAACCTTGTGGTAAGTTTGGTGAAGGTCCTTTTTGTTCTAGTAGGACTAAACCCCTTTGTAAAAAGCCGTCTCCACAGAGATATGGGTTGATGAGTTTGGTGTGGAGGTTCTTGAATGTCTTGCACAGGGGCAGACTGGCCATTCGAGCACTCAGGCACTGCCCGAGGGCCCGGGGGTCAGTAGGGGGCCCCATGAAATGCCCCTGGTACCTTTTATAGGCTTTTTTTTTTGAGTGTGGGCAAGGACACAGGGGCCCCATGATCCCCTATTGCCCGGGGGCCCCATGAGTTGTCAGTCCGCCCTGGTCCTGCACAGAGCCCTGATCTCAATCCTACTGAACCTGACCTCAAAAATTGTTCTTTTGGCTAAATGTGCGCACATTCCCACAGACTCACTCCAAAAACGCATGGAAAACCTTCCAGTTCGTGTGGAAGCTGTTATGGCAGCTAAAGGGTCAAGTCCAAATCAATGGCTATTGTTGGGGAATGGGATGTGCAAGAAACTCAGACAGTAGGAGGTTTATTTACTAAAGCTGGAGAGTGCAAAATCAGGATCACTTCTGTATAGAAACCTTCCAGGTTTTATTGCCAAAGCTTAATTAACTGCCTCCTGCCCGCCATATAATGTAATGACGGTGCAAGGCGGTTCTCTCATTCTGGGGAGGACGTCATATGATGTCCTCCCATTCGAACCGCGCATGCGCGGCTGCGGGAGCACACAGCGTGGTGATTGGTAGTGCGTCGTGTCCCTCAGACACAGCGGATCACCGATCAATGGATCGGTCATGTGATCAGCTGTGTCAAATCACATGTAATTAGGGAAATGCCGGTTAACCCCCTTTCTCTCCTCAGAAGCTGTCACGCTGACAGGAGAGGAGAGGAGAGCCGGTAATCGGCTTTACTCAGAGGGGACTTATACACTGGTCATCAGGGCACTGATGATCAGTGTGCCCTGATGATCAGTGTAGCCCCAGCAGCACCACCTGTCAGTGCCTACCAGTGCCACATATCAGCGCCGCCTACCAGTGCCCATCAGTGATGCCTGTCAATCCCCATCAGTGCCACCTACCAGTGCCTCCATCAGTGCCACCTATCAGTGTCCATCAGTGCCACCTATCAGTGTCCATCAGTGCCGCCTCATTAGCACACATCAGTGAAGGAAAAAAAAAAAAAAAATCACTTATTTAAAAAATTTTAAAACAAAAACTAAGAAAAAACATTTTTTTTTTTTTCAAAATTTTCAGTTGTTTTTGGTTTGTTTAGCAAACAAAAAACCCAGCGGGGATTAAATACCACCAAAAGAAAGCTCTGTCTCAAAAAAAATGATAAAAATTTCATATGGGTACAGTGTTGCATGACCGCACAATTGTCAAAGTGTGACAGCGCTGAAAGCTGAAAATTGGCCTGGGCAGGAAGGGGGTATAAGTGCCCGGTAGGCGAGGGGTTAAACAAGCTGAGATTAGAAGCCGATTGGTTTCTAGGCAGAAGTGAGTCTGATTTTGTAGGGTGAACAGCCTCTCAGTCTAACAGCCATTGAAATAATTGTCAAGTTGGGGTGAGGTGGGGTGAGGCCCCTATATTGAGACCTCTATATTGATGGCCAATGGTTTTGAAATGGGGGATGTGAAACAAGTTCATATAGGTGACGTGGTCAGATTTTCACAAACTGCCATAGAGTGCAGAACAGCCTCTCAACCAAACTCCAGAAGAACCCTTCCAAAAAAAAAAAAAAAAAAAAATTCAGGTCTTGAGGAACCCGTTAAAGAAAATTTATTGGGGGGGGAAGAGTCAGTGGGAAATTGCCACTTACATTGATAGTTTGAGACAAAAGCCACCTTGATGTGCTGGTCAGAATGCTACTCTTACATACGCCTTAAAAAGACCATTGGCACCATATTGATTCTGCCACATAGTGTTGGCCCCAGAATTATGCCGGCACTATAAGAAGGTACAAGTGAAACTCAAAAAAATTAGAATATGGTGCAAAAGTTCATTTATTTCAGTGCAGCAACTTAAAAGGTGAAACTAATATATGAGATAGACTCATTACATGCAAAGCAAGATAGTTCAAGCCGTGATTTGTCATCATTGTGATGATTATGGCTTACAGCTCATGAAAACCCCAAATCCACAATCTCAGAAAATGAGAATATTGTGAAAAGGTGCAATATTCTCGGCTCAAAGTGTCCCACTCTAATCAGATAATTAAGCCATAACACCTGCAAAGGGTTCCTGAGCCTTTAAATGGTCTCTCAGTCTGGTTCAGTAGGAATCACAATCATGGGAAAGACTGCTGACCTGACACCATCATTGACACCCTCCATAAGGAGAGAAAGCCTCAAGAAGAATGGAGAGGCCCAAGGACCCCGAGTATGGAGGAAGAATGGAGAGGCCCAAGGACCCAAGGAAGAATGGAGAGGCCAAGGACCCCGAGTATGGAGGAAGAATAGAGAGGCACAAGGACCCCGAGTATGGAGGAAGAATAGAGAGGCACAAGGACCCCGAGTATGGAGGAAGAATGGAGAGGCACAAGGACCCCGAGTATGGAGGAAGAATGGAGAGGCACAAGGACCCCAAGTATGAGGAAGAATAGAGAGGCACAAGGACCCCGAGTATGGAGGAAGAATAGAGAGGCACAAGGACCCCGAGTATGAAGGAAGAATGGAGAGGCACAAGGACCCCGAGTATGGAGGAAGAATGGAGAGGCACAAGGACCCCGAGTATGGAGGAGGAATGGAGAGGCACACACTGCAAGATACTTGAAGTCCAGTGTGAAGTTTCCACAGTCTGTGTTGATTTGGGGAGCCATGTCATCTGCTGGTGTTGGTCCACTGTGCTTCATTAAGTCCAGGGTCAACCCAGCCATCTACCAGGAGATTTTGGAGCACTTCATGCTTCCTTCCGCAGACAAGCTTTATGGGGATGCTGACTTCATTTTCCAGCAGGACTTGGCTCCGCCCACACTGCCAAAAGCACCAAAACCTGGTTCAATGACTGTGGGATTACTGTGCTTGATTGGCCAACAAACTCACCTGACCTGAACCTCAGAGAATCTATGGGGCATTGCCAAGAGCAAGATGAGACATGAGACCGAACAATGCAGAAGAGCTGAAGGCCGCTATTGAAGCATCCTGGTCTTCCATAACACCTCAGCAGTGCCACAGGCTGATAGCTTCCATGCCACGCCGCATTGAGGCAGTAATTGCTGCAAAAGGGGCCCAAACCAAGTACTGAGTACATATGCAGCTTCTACTTTTCAGAGGTCCGATATGGTTCTATGTACAATCCTTGTTTTATTGATTGCATGGAATATTCTCATTTTCGGAGATTGTGGATTTGGGGGTTTTCATGAGCTGTAAGCCATAATCATCACAATGATGACAAATCACGGCTTGAACTATCTTGCTTTGCATGTAATGAGTCTCATATATTAGTTTCACCTTTTAAGTTGCTGCACTGAAATTAACTTTTGCACGATATTCTAATTTTTCGAGTTTCACCTGTAAAGTCAATCAGTCACAGCTCAGAAACCCCCCTAGCAACCTCTGGAGGAATGCTAGTATTTCATGGAACCCTTGTTGAGAACAGCTGGTGTAGAACAATCCCTGTCCACATGGCTCAGTTACGTACTTTACACAACAAATACTGCCGGGAACAGTAGTCCTAACCATTTTAGGTACGGAGTTCCGCTCATCAAATTACAAAAAGTGAAAAAAATACGATTTATTTTAAATTTTGGGGTAGGCAAGGAAAAAGGTTACATGAGTACAAGGAAGACATGTTTTAAGCTCACATCTAGAAGTTTGACTCATTATATTACATCACACACATTTACACATATATTTGCTTTCAACAACATTAAAGTGGTTTTATAAAGTGCTTCATTTATTTATTTATTTTTTTTTAAACATTCACCATCATGACTGGAAGACCTATCGACAGGTGCAAGACTCCGCCATCATATTTTCGTATTCCTTGTATAGAATATTGCCGCCTGGCTCAATCATAAGAACGCTGATGGGACCGTAGGAGTAAGGGACACAAGAAGGACGGGGGACGTTCCCATCAACTACCTGACTGATAAAGTTCTGAATAATGGCGTGGTTGGGAGAATTGTACCCCGAATGAAGGACTTGGGGGCAATCTCCCATACAGAAGCCAGGGTTGTACCTATGCGGAGCTATGATCCAGTGGTCCCATCCTAGCTGGTGGAAGCTCACCCAGAATGGATGCAGCGAGCAGTGATTCTTGGACTGTCTACCTTGTTTGGGAATCTTCGGAAGCTTCGTGCCGATTGTTTCTGCTCGACGTGGTTTCCTCACCAGCGTGCCGGACTTACTCTCATCTGGATTCAAAGAGACCATGCCCTCTTCGGATCGATTGTGAACAGTGTAGTTGAAATACATTAACAAGAAGGGAACGTGGGCTGGGGAAATTGCCAACGAGACTAGAGGACGATTCCTGGTATGCCTACATGACATCTGAATGTGCAAAACGTGGCCGGGGTGGTCCACCAGTGGTTTGGCATAGGACGTGAGATCTGTCTCAACCCACTTGCGCATTCCTCTGGGAACTCTTGTTTTGGAGGAGACACCAACATTTGGTACGAGATCCACCTTACATAAATAGTAATTGTCCTTGAAATGGAGTGCTCTTGGGTGTATTACTGTTGCCCTTTGAAGTTCTTCTGCTTTTACATTGTGAAGGTTGAATTTCAAGTCTTGGATCCACCAAGACCCTTCTGGAAAACAAAAGACAAATAGTCAAACTATACTTAAAGCCCAAACTTTTTTTTTTAGCATAAAAAAATGGTTGACTGCCCTGTCAGGTTCTTTTTGCTGTCTGTGCCCCACTAGGGGCAATGGGATTACCTTTACTTGTCCTCTAGACCAGTGGTCTCCAAAGTACGGCCCTGGGGCCAGATGTGGCCCTTTGCCCGCTTTTATCTGGCCCTTCGGATCTTATTCCACGCCCACTGTCAGCAACAGTGGGGCATAATTCCTGCCACTGACACCCACGATGGGACTCTGTTCCTCCCACTGACACCCACGATGGGACTCTGTTCCTCCCACTGACACCCACGATGGGACTCTGTTCCTCCCACTGACACCCACGATGGGACTCTGTTCCTCCCACTGACACCCACGATGGGACTCTGTTCCTCCCACTGACACCCACGATGGGACTCTGTTCCTCCCACTGACACCCACGATGGGACTCTGTTCCTCCCACTGACACCCACGATGGGACTCTGTTCCTCCCACTGACACCCACGATGGGACTCTGTTCCTCCCACTGACACCCACGATGGGACTCTGTTCCTCCCACTGACACCCACGATGGGACTCTGTTCCTCCCACTGACACCCACGATGGGACTCTGTTCCTCCCACTGACACCCACGATGGGACTCTGTTCCTCCCACTGACACCCACGATGGGACTCTGTTCCTCCCCACTGACACCCACGATGGGACTCTGTTCCTCCCACTGACACCCACGATGGGACTCTGTTCCTCCCACTGACACCCACGATGGGACTCTGTTCCTCCCACTGACACCCCACGATGGGACTCTGTTCCTCCCACTGACACCCACGATGGGACTCTGTTCCTCCCACTGACACCCACGATGGGACTCTGTTCCTCCCACTGACACCCACGATGGGACTCTGTTCCTCCCACTGACACCCACGATGGGACTCTGTTCCTCCCACTGACACCCACGATGGGACTCTGTTCCTCCCACTGACACCCACGATGGGACTCTGTTCCTCCCACTGACACCCACGATGGGACTCTGTTCCTCCCACTGACACCCACGATGGGACTCTGTTCCTCCCACTGACACCCACGATGGGACTCTGTTCCTCCCACTGACACCCACGATGGGACTCTGTTCCTCCCACTGACACCCACGATGGGACTCTGTTCCTCCCACTGACACCCACGATGGGACTCTGTTCCTCCCACTGACACCCACGATGGGACTCTGTTCCTCCCACTGACACCCACGATGGGACTCTGTTCCTCCCACTGACACCCACGATGGGACTCTGTTCCTCCCACTGACACCCACGATGGGACTCTGTTCCTCCCACTGACACCCACGATGGGACTCTGTTCCTCCCACTGACACCCACGATGGGACTCTGTTCCTCCCACTGACACCCACGATGGGACTCTGTTCCTCCCACTGACACCCACGATGGGACTCTGTTCCTCCCACTGACACCCACGATGGGACTCTGTTCCTCCCACTGACACCCACGATGGGACTCTGTTCCTCCCACTGACACCCACGATGGGACTCTGTTCCTCCCACTGACACCCACGATGGGACTCTGTTCCTCCCACTGACACCCACGATGGGACTCTGTTCCTCCCACTGACACCCACGATGGGACTCTGTTCCTCCCACTGACACCCACGATGGGACTCTGTTCCTCCCACTGACACCCACGATGGGACTCTGTTCCTCCACTGACACCCACGATGGGACTCTGTTCCTCCCACTGACACCCACGATGGGACTCTGTTCCTCCCACTGACACCCACGATGGGACTCTGTTCCTCCCACTGACACCCACGATGGGACTCTGTTCCTCCCACTGACACCCACGATGGGACTCTGTTCCTCCCACTGACACCCACGATGGGACTCTGTTCCTCCCACTGACACCCACGATGGGACTCTGTTCCTCCCACTGACACCCACGATGGGACTCTGTTCCTCCCACTGACACCCCACGATGGGGGGACTCTGTTCCTCCCACTGACACCCACGATGGGGCACTACTCCTCCCCACTGACACCCACGATGGGGCACTACTCCTCCCACTGACACCAACGATGGGGCACTACTCCTCCCACTGACACCAACGATGGGGCACTACTCCTCCCACTGACACCCACGATGGGGCACTACTCCTCCCACTGACACCAACGATGGGGCACTACTCCTCCCACTGACACCAACGATGGGGCACTACTCCTCCCACTGACACCAACGATGGGGCACTACTCCTCCCACTGACACCAACGATGGGGCACTACTCCTCCCACTGACACCAACGATGGGGCACTATTCCTCCCACTGACACCAACGATGGGGCACTACTCCTCCCACTGACACCAACGATGGTGCACTGTTCCTCCCACTGACACCAACGATGGGACTCTGTTCCTCCCACTGACACCAACGATGGGGCACTACTCCTCCCACTGACACTAACGATGGGGCACTACTCCTCCCACTGACACTAACGATGGGGCACTACTCCTCCCACTGACACCAACGATGGGGCACTATTCCTCCCACTGACACCAACGATGGGGCACTATTCCTCCCACTGACACCAACGATGGGGCACTATTCCTCCCACTGACACTAACAATGGAGCACTACTTCCACTAACACCAATAATGTGAAACTATACCCCCCTTATACCATGTTCTGCTCCCTCTGGTCACAGTCCAGCCCTCGTAAAGTTTGAAGGACAGTGAACTGGTCCTTTGTTTACAAAGTTTGGAGACCCCCGCTCTAGACAGAAGAGGGAATCTCTTTAGGACAAGAGAAATAATTTTTCCTCAAGAGGGACCCTTGAAGAAAAAAAAAAAAAAAAAGTCTAAGGGAACCCCTGCTATAGTCAAATAATTGGTGGTCAGTGGGAAGGGTGCCCCTTACATCGGGGGGTCAGTGGGAAGGGTGCCCCTTACATCGGGGGGTCAGTGGGAAGGGTGCCCCTTATAGTTGGAAGAGTGCCACTCTTACAGACTAATGCAGGCTATAGACAGGTCAAAAATCGGCCGATTTTCCAGCCAAAAAAAAAAAAAAAACGGCAGATTTTCACACCATTAGTGGGTTAATTAATCAGCCGTTTTTTGGGGTTTTGGCACATTTCTTTTCATCTGTAAAGTTGGAAAAAAAAAATAAAAAAAAAATCGGCCGATTTTCCAGCCAATGATGGGCAAATTGGAAGATCATTTTACCGATAAAAAAAATCTGCACATCAGCCGTGACCAGAAAGAGAAAAAAAGAAAGAGCAAAAAAAAAAGAAAGAAAAAAAAAGGGGGGAAAAAGGGGGAGAAAAGGGGGGGAAAAAGGGGGAGAAAAGGGGGGGAAAAAGGGGGAGAAAAGGGGGGGGAAAAAGGGGGAGAAAAGGGGGGGGGGGAAAAGGGGGAGAAAAGGGGGGGGGGAAAAGAAAGGGGGGGGGGAAAAAGGGGGGGGGGGAAAAAAAGGGGGAGAAAAGGGGGGGAAAAGGGGGAGAAAAAGGGGGGGAAAAAGGGGGAGAAAAGGGGGGGAAAAAGGGGGAGAAAAGGGGGGAAAAAGGGGGGAAAAGGGGGGGAGAAAAGGGGGGGGGGGGGAAAAGGGGGAGAAAAGGGGGGGGGGAAAAAGGGGGAGAAAAGGGGGGGAAGGGGGAGAAAAGGGGGAAAGGGGGGTTAAGGGGGGAAAGGGGGGTTAAGGGGGGTTGGAAAAGGGGGGGGGGAGGGGAAAAAAAAGGGGAAAAAGAAGGGGAAAAGGGAAAAAAAAAAAAAAAAAGAGGAAAAAGAAAAAGAAAAAGAAGAAAAAGAAGAATTCCAGTCCGCTATTATATTTTATATGAAAAGTATTGAAGTTGCAACAATGTATCCATTTGTATCCGAATAAAAGCATCTGTATCCAAAATGGATACAAATGGATACATTGTTGCAACTGCAAGACTTTTTCATGTCAACTATAATAGCGGAGCTCTCTGCAGGGACAGAAGTCAGTAAATGCCGGCCGTCGACGGGACGAAAATCGGTTGATTTTTTTCACCGTTGGTGGTAACGTCTGCCTATTAAACGACCGATTTTTTTTTTTTTTTTTTTTTTTTTTTTTTTTAAAGAGTCTGGTTTTCGACCTATGGCCTGCAAAATTCATAATTGGTGCCATGCTGCTGGCTCTGTCAAGCCTCATTGACCTTGGAAACTATACAAAAACACCAAATGGGGGTCAGCCACAGCTCAGAGAACCCCTGGAAACCTTTGAGGAACACTGCTTGAGAATGTATGTCGCTTTTGAAAAAAAAAAAAAAAAAAAAACATTTATGGAAGATTCCCATTCCAGTGAGAAAAACATTTGGAATTTTCAATCATTTTCAGTCCAATGCTTACCAGGACAAAGAGGACAAATCTCCCCACTGGGGTCACAGACAGCAATACAAAACCCAACAGAGGATCAAACCCTTCCCAACTTGATCCAAAAATTCCATAAGCTGCAACATGTTAAAATGGACTCTACCCTAGATAGCCAAAAAAAAAAAAAAGAATTGAATTAAATAGTAATAATAATATTAAAAAATATATATCTCCTATAAAAATTGTCATAGTATAAAATTTTTTCAAATTTTATTTAAAACCCCACCGCACACACCAGTCCATCATAGTGTCCTTGCAGGTCAGTGCCCCTCACTGGGGTAAATTGATGAAAAGCTACTTTAGGCTTAATTCTTACCACTCTGTGTGCGGCGCAGTGCTGATGTGCCAGTTGTGTCGCATCTCACTGTTGACTTTTTTTTAAACTTTATTGAAAAGACACAGTTGTAGTTGTATCGGCAGCAGAAAAACGCGGGGGTGTGAATTGGGCACATAGGAGACCAGGCATTTTGCCTTTTCTTGCTGTGGGACTGTTCTGGAATAGTCGCCTAATGCAGACGCTTAATGTGTTACTAAACCCTGGACCCTGCATTCACTATATCCGCTCTCCCCGGACCCTGCATTCACTATATCCGCTCTCCCTGGACCCTGCATTCACTATATCCGCTCTCCCTGGACCCTGCATTCACTATATCCGCTCTCCCCGGACCCTGCATTCACTATATCCGCTCTCCCCGGACCCTGCATTCACTATATCCGCTCTCCCAGGACCCCGCATTCACTATATCCGCTCTCCCCGGACCCCGCATTCACTATATCCGCTCTCCCCGAACCCTGCATTCACTATATCCGCTCTCCCCAGGACCCTGCATTCACTGTATCCGCTCTCCCCGGGCCCGCATTCACTATATCCGCTCTCCCCGGACCCTGCTCTCCCCGGGCCCTGCATTCACTATATCCGCTCTCCCCGGACCCCGCATTCACTATATCCGCTCTCCCCGAACCCCGCATTCACTATATCCGCTCTCCCAGGACCCTGCATTCACTATATCTGCTCTCCCCGGACCCCGGCGTTCACTGTATCCGCTCTCCCCGGGCCCTGCATTCACTATATCCGCTCTCTCCGGGCCCTGCATTCACTATATCCGCTCTCCCCGGGCCCTGCATTCACTATATCCGCTCTCCCCGGCCTATATCTGCCCCGCATTCACTATATCCGCTCTCCCCGGACCCCGCATTCACTATATCCGCTCTCCCCGGACCCCGCATTCACTATATCCGCTCTCCCCGGACCCCGCATTCACTATATCCGCTCTCCCCGGACCCCGCATTCACTATATCCGCTCTCCCCGGACCCCCGCATTCACTATATCCGCTCTCCCCGGACCCCGCATGCACTATATCCGCTCTCCCCAGACCCCGCATGCACTATATCCGCTCTCCCCAGACCCCGCATGCACTATATCCGCTCTCCCCCAGACCCCGCATGCACTATATCCGCTCTCCCCGGACCCCGCATGCACTATATCTGCTCTCCCCGGACCCTGCATTCACTATATCCGCTCTCCCTGGACCCTACATTCACTATATCCGCTCTCCCTGGACCCTGCATTCACTATATCCGCTCTCCCCGGACCCTGCATTCACTATATCTGGTATCCCCGGACCCTGCATTCACTATATCTGCTCTCCCGGGACCCTGCATTCACTATATCTGGTCTCCCACAGTACACATTACATGGAAATGCTAAATCCCTTTTCCCATCAGCAGTATAGAGCAGTCTTGTGACTTCTATCAGTGTCCAGCAGAGCACATATTAAAGCTTTCAGAAGTTTTCATTTTGCTCTAGGAGGATGCAGAACCCCTGACCTCTGTCTGGACAGTGCTGATCACATGCACTCCCCCAAGAAAAAAAACCTCTCTCGTAATACACACTAAACTGAGCATGTGCAGAGTGTTCCTATATGATATGTCTCATCAGAAGAGAAGAGCTGTACTGGAAGAAGGGGAGGATCAGAGAAGACAGAATCAAACAGCCTTTTTACACAATACAGAGGGTTAACCCCTTAGGTTCCACAATGAGTATACCCAGCATGCTTTGCTGCATCCACAGACGGCTGCTGTGGGGGATCCGTCAGGGAAGGGAAGGGTACATTCGTCATTTACCGTACCGCCCTAATGGTACATGGATGGCAAATGCATACAGGTTGGGTTTCCTCTTCCTGTTGGGTCTCTAGGACAGGAAGTGAAGGGAAATTTCCCCCCAATGGTACACAGACAGCAAATGCATACAGTTTAGATTTCCTCTTACTTCCTGTTGTGTCTCTAGGACAGGAAGTGAAGGGAAATTTCTCCCAAAGGTACACGGATGGCAAATGCATACAGTTTATTTCCTGTTACTTCCTGTTGTGTCACCAGGACAGGAAATGAAGGGAAATTTCCCCCTAATGGTACACGGATGGCAAATGCATACAGTTTAGATTTCCTCTTCCTGTTGTGTCTCTAGGACAGTAAGTGAAGAGAAATTTCTCCCAAAGGTACATGGTTGGCAAATGCATACACTTTTGATTTCCTCTCACTTCCTGTTGTGTCTCCAAGACAGGAAGTGAAGGGAAATTTCCCCCAATGGTACAGACAGCAGATACATACACTACGTATTTTCCTGGTCCAACTACATTGTCCAGCATTGCCAAACCTCTCACCTGTGATAAAAGACGTTTGATGGACAGGTCTCACCAGCCTCACCGCAGCTCCGGGGACTTTGCTCGCCTTGGGCCTTCCATCGGCGTCCGCTGACCGGCGATACAGCGTCAGCATGAAGCGAAGGTGTTGTGAGCTCAGCTCCTGCTTGGCCACCGTCTCGGGCTTCAGGGGCCCGTGGTCCAGCAATGTCTGAATAAGCGGCAGAGCGTCACACCTCATCAACGCGCCCAAGCCGTTCCGTTCTGCCGCAGCAGGCAAGGCGACCATAAATAGCCAGAGAAGCAATAAATAGTGAGGATGCCCGGCCATCATGGTGCCGGAGGGTCAGGCGGTCCCATATGGCAGAGACCACTAGCAGGAAGGTTCATGGAGGGGCAGAGAGGGAGCGGGCTTCAGCAGAGACATGGAAGGCCGGGAGGGATCCTGAGAGCAGCAGCAACAGTATCCTCCCCAGGTGAAGCCATTATGAAATGGGAGGAGCTATAATCAGTGTTCACTATGATCCCTGAACTCCAAACCACTGAGCTGTGCAAATACACTGTGCAATGAAGGAAACCCAGTCACTGCTGACCACACCCACTGACACAACATGGAGGAAACCCAGCACACGGCAGAGGAGACTTATATACCCTTCCATCTCTGACATGGGGAGGAGGGGCACCTGATTAACCTCTTCACTCCCAGAGACACCTCGCTCCATCCCTCCGTCTCTCCTTCATTCCCACCTTTGTTCTCTCTAATAAAATACTAATAACAACCACAATAATACCAAAACTACTTACTACTTATATAATAAAAATATGTACTACTACTAAAATATAGTTATAATAATAATAATATGAATAAACCACTACTACTAATACTACGTATAATAAATAATAAATAATAATAACATGTATACTACTAATACTACGTATAATAATAATAATAATAATATGTATACTACTAATACTAATAAATAATAACGTATAAATATAATAATAATAATAATAACATGTATACTACTAATACTACGTATAATAATAATAATATGTATACTAATACTAATACTATGTATAATAATAATAATAATAATAATATGTATACTACTAATACTATGTATAATAATAATAATAATAACTACATGTATAATACTAATACTGTGTATAATAATAATAATAAATAATAATATATACTACTAATACTATGTATAATAATAATAATAAACTACAATACTATGTATAATACTAATACTGTGTATATAATAATAAATAATAATAACATGTATACTACTAATACTATGTATAATAATAATATAACATGTATACTACTAATACTACGTATAATAATAATAATAACATGTATACTACTAATACTACTAATAATATAATAACATGTATACTAATAATACTATGTATAATAATAATAATAATAATAATAAACAACATGTATACTACTAATACTATGTATAATAATAATAATAATAATAATAATAATATGTATACTACTAATACTACGTATAATAATAATAATAATATAATATGTATACTACTAATACTATGTATAATAATAATAATAATATGTATATACTAATACTGTGTATAATAATAATAATAATAATAATAATGTATAATAATAATAATAATAATAACAACATGTATACTACTAATACTATGAAATAATAATAATAATAATAATACTAATAATAATAATAATAATAACATGTATACTACTAATACTATGTATAATAATAATAATAATAATAACCATAATAACATGTATACTACTAAATACTACGTATAATAATAATAATAATAATAATAATAATAACAAATAACATGTATACTACTAATACTATGTATAATAATAATAATAATAATAATAATATCAGTCATACTACTACTACTAACAATAAATAATAATAATAATAATAAAAAAAATAGGACTACTACTACTAACAATAATAATAAAAAAAAAAACTACTACTACTACTACTAACAATAAATAATAATAATAATAATTATTACTGCTATTTCTACCACTATTACTACAACTAATATTACTGATGATAAATACAATAATATGTATACTAATACTAATAAAAGAAAATAATAATAATAATAATAATAATAATTAAAACATACTACTACTAATAATAATAATAATAATAATAATAAAAAAAGAAATACTACTACTAATAATTACAAAATTCTACTACTAATAATAATTATGATAATAAAATACTACTACTAACAATAATAATAATAAAATACTACTACTGCTATTAATAAAACATAATAATACTGTAATACTGGTGCTAGTAATGCAGAAATCCTTGTACTGTGAAGGATCAGCACAGCACTATACATGATCCTTCTACCAGTAATAAGCACAGTGTTTGTATTTCTCCAATTCTCCTGTAGCTCCTTCCCTCCTCCGGCCAGCAGGGGTCTCTGCAGAGTTCGGATCCCGGAAGTCCCATCCCTCCGGCCGCCCCGTACAGAACGCTTATCCCTCCAGTACCGGAAGCGGGCGGTCCTTTCTATTCAGACGCAGCCATGGTGAGGAGTCTCGTCTGTGTTTCTGGTGTCCAAATCCGGCTTCATCCTCGGTGATGGCGGCCTGTGTGTGGCAGCCGGCCTGGCGGGGATGTAGAGCGGATCCCGGGGGGGAGTAGTGGGGCTCTATTGGGGGTGGTGGGCCCCAGGGGAGGCCTGTGGAGGGGTGGTGTGCCCCAGGGGAGGCCTGTGGAGGGGGGACCAGGCCGCAGGTGGATGGGGGAAGGGAGGGAGTCCCGGGGAGTATATCGGGCCTTGTAGAGGAGTTGGGGGGGCTCGCATTGTTTTGTTGGGGGGGGATAGAGTTGTACAGTCACTGGGCTCAGGAACCTGTATGTAGGTGAATGTGGAATTCTCTGCAGGTGAATGTTCCTGGTTATGGCGCCTTGGAGGGATTTCCCCCCCCCGAATGTGGGGGGGGGGGTCACATTCCCTGCCCCCTGTGTATACATATATATCCTGTGTGGGGGGTATACGGCCGTCGTATAGAAGAGGACCTGTCTTGTGTACCTGTTGGGCCTCATTCACCCCGTCGGCCTGCGTTCTGCTCCGGTATCACATGCCCTGCCCCCCCCCCCCCCGTGGTGTGTGTTGGTTGAGGCGCTTTTTTTAAAAACTTTATTCCATGTGTGTGACGTTGTGCTGCACTTTTACCTGGCGCCGCCGCCGCACATGTACAGCGCTTAGAAAACTACGGCTTTGTGCGCGTCCCTTCGAGCGATTCTTTTGGGACCTTGTGATTGTGCGGCGTGATCCGCCAGGTGCTTGCATGCAAGTCACCCCCCCCCCCTTCTAAATGCGTGGGGGGGGGGCACAACTGCTTGTCTTTGACGGGTCAAGGGCAGGCGGAGTGCGCTCACAGCGGCTCGCCCATAGACCTGTTAGTTTCTTTTGGGTTTTTTTTTTCTTTTGCTGTGTCCCCATTGGGGAGATTTCCCTTCACTTCCTGTCCCATAGACCAAACAGGAAGTGAGGAAATCCCTCCTAAGGCTAGATTCACATCTGTGCGGGTGGTGCCGCTGCGGATCCGTGCAGCCACACAGAAGAATGCGGGCCCGTGGGGGGGGGGGGGCGTTAATTCTAATGGCACGCCGCCCGCACTGGAAATTGAAACTGAGGTTTCCCTACAGGCTGCGTTTTCAGAATTCTTCCCTGCGTGTCCCGGGCACAGGAGTCTGTTGAAATGAATGGGCTCTCATGCCCACGCAGACCGCAGGAACACGGATGTGTGAACCGGGTCAGTGTGGGAATCTAAAAACTAGTGTCCCCACTAGGAGATTTCCCCTCTGTTCCTGTTCTGGGGATTAATCAATATTTGTGATTCTTTCACTTTTGGTAATGGTCACATGACCACGTAGGGGGATGGGCTAAAGGAGAGCTAAAGACCATTTATTTTATATTTCGGATGGAGGAAGGGAAGGTTATAACCAGTCAGGTTTTTTTTCCCGCCATTAAAGAGATTTCTGTTCACTTCCTGTCCCGTAGCCAAACAGGAAGTGAGGAAATCCCTCCTAATGCCAGCCATACATGGTTCGAAATTCGACCAATTTTTTTTTCTTTGCCCAAAAATCAGACTTAAGAATAATCGGCCAATTTTCGCTCTGTTGGGTCAATGGCACCGGCTGATTTTCGTGGTTCCTCCCCTTTTCGGTGATCGCATGTTGGAAAATTTGGGAAAAACTACCGATTTTCAACTCGATGGTCAAATCGTACGATCGGTTTTCCGAAAAGAATGTGCACATGAGCCGCGACCTGGAAGGAACAGAAGTCTCGCCTGTTATATGGGGTGAACTCTATGACTTGGTCGGCCGATTTTCGAAATCATTGATGGTACCATCGGATTACCGAGCGAGCGTTTTCGATTTTTGTTCGGAAAATTCGAATTCCTGTATATGGCCTGCGTAAGGTTAGGTTCACATCACCGCCTTTTGCGCGGGCGAGAGAGCCCATTCATTTGCCCCATGACACGCAGGGAAGAAGTCCCAGCACTTCGGAAAACGCAGCCCACAGGGGAACCTCGATTTCCAGTGCAGGCGGTGCGCCATTAGAATTGAAGGCGCCTGCCCGCGGATCCGCATTCCTCCATGTGGGTGGTACGGCTGCATAGATTTTTGTTCGGATCCGCAGCTGCACCACCCCCGCACAGATGCAAACCAGAGGTAAGTGTGGGAATCCAAAAACTAGTGTCCCCATTGGAAGATTTCCCCTCTTCCTGTTCAGGTGACAACCCAAACTTTTTTTTTTTGTGACAAATAATGGGCAGAGATAACAAGAAAAACCTGATGGGTTCTAAATCCTCCACCATGTTGCAAACAAAAAAAAAAAAAAGTTTTGCCCTTAGTTATACTTTTAATGTTCCCTGTTCTATCAAACACTAAAAAAAAAAAAAAAAAAGCACAATGTAACACAGTGAAGGGGGGGGGGAGGAGTTTATCCAAACTGGAGCAGCTGTGATTGGCAGCCAATCAGCTTGGTCAGTGAAAGTGGAACTACACCGTCCTATCCTTTTACATTGAGCCTTGGTTCACACTAATGCGGCGCGGGAAACGCAGCGATTCCTGTGCGTTTCCCGTTTTGCAGTTGCACGGCGTCTCTGCGATTTGGTACAGACGTCCGTGTTAAATTTACGAAACAAGATCGCAAAACGCAGTGCGATTACCAGATTTCGCATGGCCTGGGTGTGAACCCCCACCACGCAATGCGATACAGGCGCGGGACAAAAAGGGGCCTGTGCAAATCGCATGCGACGCCCCGCATCAGTGCGAATCGAGGAAGCTGCCGTCCTGGCTTCTTTTTAACCCCTTGGTGCCTGGCGCCTCCCGGCCCTTTAAGGGTTTCAGAAGCCGGGAGGCGGGGTTTAGGGTCATGTGACACACCGTCGCATGATCGGGAAAGGTCCCGATCGAAAGAGGAGATGGGGACCTTTCCGTGAGTACCGCAAATGTGCGGCCGCCGCTCGCCATCTAGGCCCAGGCGCCATCTAGGCCGCACATTTGCGTTCCAGGTCACGGCTCACGCTTGTATTCTTTCCGGAAAAACGATCGTACGATTTGACCATTTGTTGAGTCGAAAATCGGTAGTTTTTCACAAATTTTCCAACATGCCCGATCACCAGAAAGGGGAGGAACCACAAAAATCGGCCAGTGCCATTGCCCCACTAACAGTGAAAATCAGCCGATTATTCTTCTCGGTTGATTTTCGAACTAAAAATCGTTTGAAAATCGACACGTGTATGGCCGGCCTAAAACTGGAGCGCTCAGAATCTGGTGCAGCTGTGCATTTCAGCCAGTCAGGTTGTAGCAATTAGTTCCTTTGTTGCCGGGAAGAAATGTTGCAGCCTGGAAACGTAGCAGTTACAGTTCCTTTGTTGCCGGGAAGAAATGTTGCAGCCTGGAAACGTAGCAGTTACAGTTCCTTTTGTTGCCGGGAAGAAATGTTGCAGCCTAGAAACGTAGCAGTTACAGTTCCTTTGTTGCTGGGAAGAAATGTTGCAGCCTAGAAACGTAGCAGTTACAGTTCCTTTGTTGCTGGGAAGAAATGTTGCAGCCTGGAAACGTAGCAGTTACAGTTCCTTTGTTGCCGGGAAGAAATGTTGCAGCCTGGAAACGTAGCAGTTACAGTTCCTTTTGTTGCCAGGGAAGAAATGTTACAGCCTGGAAACGTTGTAGCAGTTACAGTTCCTTTGTTGCCGGGAAGAAATGTTACAGCCTGGAAACGTAGCAGTTACAGTTCCTTTGTTGCCGGGAAGAAATGTTGCAGCCTGGAAACGTTGTAGCAGTTACAGTTCCTTTGTTGCCGGGAGGAAATGTTGCAGCCTAGAAACGTAGCAGTTACAGTTCCTTTGTTGCCGGGAGGAAATGTTGCAGCCTGGAAACGTAGCAGTTACAGTTCCTTTGTTGCCGGGAAGAAATGTTGCAGCCTGGAAACGTTGTAGCAGTTACAGTTCCTTTGTTGCCGGGAGGAAATGTTGCAGCCTAGAAACGTAGCAGTTACAGTTCCTTTGTTGCCGGGAGGAAATGTTGCAGCCTGGAAACGTAGCAGTTACAGTTCCTTTGTTGCCAGGAAGAAATGTTGCAGCCTGGAAACGTAGCAGTTACAGTTCCTTTTGTTGCCGGGAAGAAATGTTGCAGCCTGGAAACGTAGCAGTTACAGTTCCATTGTTGCCGGGAAGAAATGTTGCAGCCTGGAAACGTTGCAGTTACAGTTCCTTTGTTGCCGGGAAGAAATGTTGCAGCCTGGAAACGTTGCAGTAGTTACAGTTCCTTTGTTGCCGGGAGGAAATGTTGCAGCCTGGAAACGTTGCAGCAGTTACAGTTCCTTTGTTGCCGGGAGGAAATGTTGCAGCCTGGAAACGTAGCAGTTACAGTTCCTTTGTTGCCGGGAAGAAATGTTGCAGCCTGGAAACGTAGTTACAGTTCCTTTGTTGCCGGGAAGTGCAGTCATGAAAATGTTGATGTTTCTAGAATGTCAAAGGATTGGTTTCGAAGGCCTCATTCACACGGGCCTATCCATCCGTACGCTGCGCACGGGGCCGTCTATGCCCACACAGGTGTGCTTTGCACCTGCGTGCATTCATTCCCATTCACGTCTATTGGGATGCAGTGGCTGCAGGGACACGGTTCCCATTTGTCAGCTGTGCAGATTCACGTGCGTGCCCCACGACCACAGACAGTGTGCGTTTTTGGAGACACACACCCAACACAGCTGTCAAATTGGGACCGGGCGGGTAGGTTTGTTCAACTGCTGCGTCCTGGCAGACGTTCTTGGGACGCCCACGTGAATGGGGCCGGAATTGCCGTTCGAATGACTTTCTGCAGTGACAGATTTGCTAACTTCTATAGCTACTCCTCTTCTCCGTCTGATGATCACCGCACACTAGAGATGTGCAGCTCCATAGACCAGCTCTGTAATTGCAGCTACAAGTCGCCGTGTAATAAGCAGAGGGAATTGTCGCTGCTACAAAGTTCTCATTGAGAGCTGAAGAAACTACTTGGCTGAGAGGTGAAACGTCGTCCGTATTACAGGACAAGTCCGGGTGAATGTGGCCTAAATCTACCACCTGAAACAGGACCTGCTTTAGGTTTTCTATGAAGTCTAATTGATCTCAGTGTGTCTTCTAATGGCTGTTCTCTCTCTCTCTCTCAGGCTCGTGGACCCAAGAAGCACTTGAAGCGTGTTGCTGCTCCCAAGCACTGGATGCTGGATAAGCTGACGGGTGTCTTTGTGAGTATCCGGTAGATGATGGGTTTATTGTTGGTTATACACCCCAGTCATCCTGTGCCTTAAAGCGGAGCTCCACCCAAAAGGGAAAGTTCCACTTTAATGCTTCGTCCTCCGCTCCCCATTAAGGATTAGCACCTTTGGGGAGCGGGTTCCCGAATTTGACAGGTAGCTGCTCCCACTTCCGCTGCGATCGTCTAAGGCAGGGCTTGAAATTTTCACTCGCCTGCTCGCCAATGGCGAGTGGAAATTATGGTGGGGGAGAGTGTGTCCCCCAGGGGCGTCTTGCTGAGCAGGCTCGGAGCTCAGGCCGGATCTGTCATTGGCACTGGGAGCTCAATAGCTGAGCGCAGTGAAAGCAAAGCAAGGAGTGTGTGCTGTGCTCTCTGCCTCCCCCTAGAGTGCAGTACCCAGCTCTGTGAGTGAACAACGAAGTACTGCAACTTTTTATGGGGGTGTGTGTATGTACATGTACGTGTGTGTATGTACATGTCTGTGTGTGTGTACAGGTTTCTCTGTTTGTGTGTGTGTCTGGGTATGCATGTACAATTGTACATGTGTGTATGTACGTACATGTGTCTCTGCTTATGTATTTCTGTGTATGTACATGTATCTGTGTGTATGCGTGTCTGTACGTGCCTGTGTGTGTGTACATGTGTCTGTGTGTGTGTATGTACATGTCTGTTTGTGTGTGTCTGGGTATGCATATACAATTGTACGTGTGTGTGCGTGTATGTACGTACACATGTGTCTGTGTGTGTGTGTGTGTATGTACATGTGTGTGTACTGTGCTTATGTATTTCTGTGTGTATGCGTGTCATGTATGTGCCTGTGTGTGTGTGTATACATGTGTGTCTGTGTGTGCATATGTACGTGTGTGTGTGTGTACAGGTGTGTACAGGTGTCTGTGTGTGTTGTTGGTGGCTATTAACTGAGGCCTGGCTAGTAGCTCAGGACTTGAAATTTTAAGCCCTGGCCTAAGACGATCCAAGGTGGAAGTTGTCCTCCTCCCTGTAGTCTGGGACACACGACAGGTCACAGAAGACTACGGGGCCATTCACAAAGCGCAGCGCTTCTCGTGCATGCGCAGTGGGCACTGGGCTGTGAAGCCGCAAGCTGTCACAGCCGGGCGCCCACACTGAAAATGCCGGCACCAGGGAGAGAAGACGGCCGGTGAAATCAGCCTTGGTGAAGACCGTAAGGGACAGGTAAGTGGCTGTATTTTAAAAGTCAGCAGCTACAGTTTTTTTTAGCTGCTGACTTTTATTTATTTTTTTTAAGTGGAACTCCGCTTTAACCTTTCCCTGCGGGCCACGGCGTCCCTGTTCTGAACACCATGAAAGATCAGGCGATCACGTGACCACTGATTTGGCTGTCGCTGTGCTCGTACGATTGGGAGCCGGTTGCACATTCTACCAATCAGTGGTTACATTGAGCTGTCTTTCACAGCACGCTCCCAGCACAGAAAGCTGTATCCAGCCAGGCACATGTGCAGAGTTGGAGGTCGTCGTCTTGCTTCTGCACGTTAGGCAGGCATAGACCCTAATTGGATGACACCTTTTTAAATAACCACCTCCCGTCCTGTATATAAACGGCCGGACGGTGGCAGTGCAGGGGCGGGCTGCCGTTCATAAATGGCGCCCACCATTTTGGATTGTGCGCACTCCCAGGGAAAATCTGGAAACCGTAATTAACCACTTCCAGTCCGGACACTTTCACCCCCTTCCAGTCCGGACACTTTCCGGTCCGGACACTTTCACCCCCTTCCAGTCCGGACACTTTCACCCCCTTCCAGTCCGGACACTTTCACCCCCTTCCAGTCCGGACACTTTCACCCCCCTTCCAGTCCGGACACTTTCACCCCCTTCCAGTCCGGACGCTTTCACCCCCTTCCAGTCCGGACGCTTTCACCCCCCTTCCAGTCCGGACACTTTCACCCCCCTTCCAGTCCGGACACTTTCACCCCCTTCCTGCCCAGGCCAATTTTCAGCTTTCAGCGCTGTCACACTTTGACAATTGCACGGTCATGCAACACTGTACCCGTATGAATTTTTTAGCATTTTTTTTGAGACAGATAAAGCTTTATTTTGGTGGTATTTATTCACCGCTCGGATTTTTTTTTTTTTTTTTTGCTATATAAATGAAAAAGTCCAAAATTTTTGAAAAAAGTGTTTTTCTTATAAAATTTTGCAAATAAATAATCATAAATCTTGGCCAAAATGTATTCATCTATCTTTTTAGCAAAAAATATTATTTTTAAAAACAAATGTTTAAATTTTTCTTTTTTTAATATTTTTTTTTACATATTGTCACCCTAGCAGTACAGCATCACCATGGTGACACTGTACTCCTTGTGGGGGGGGGGGGGTTATGAAGGTATTTTTTTTTTTTTTTTTTTTTTTTTTTTTCCCTTACACTGATTGCTTTTACACCCATAAAGGCTGTAAAAGCAATCATTTCTCCTCTGGCAGCATTCCTGCAGCCATTGAGAAATACTGTGAGAGCTGTGATTGGTCACAGCTTGTCACATGGTACAAGGCTGTTGTGAATAGCCCTGTACCAGGTGATCTCTGTGATCATTCAGATTTCACACGTAGTAAGCAATGATGTCAGAAGTGACATCTTGCCTTACTACTCTGCATGTGATCACTGATTGGCCAATCAGTGATCACATGATCGGGACCTCACACAGAGATCCCGTATGACGATCTGTGTTTGGAGGACACAGCGGGCACCGGATCGCGGTGCTGCGTGCTCCCAGGAGGCTGGGAGGCAGTTTATAAACGTCCACCCACCCCTGCACTGCTCCCGTTTGGCCATTTTATATACATGGGCCGGGCTGTTAAAAATGGATTTTATTGCTGGAAATAGAACTTAAAATCTTCTGTTGTCCTGCAGGCTCCACGTCCGTCCACTGGTCCCCACAAGCTTCGAGAGTGTCTGCCTCTGATCATCTTCCTGAGGAACAGGCTGAAGTACGCTCTGACCGGGGACGAGGTGAAAAAGATTTGCATGCAGCGTTTCATTAAGATCGATGGCAAGGTCCGCACAGACATTACATACCCCGCTGGGTTCATGGGTGAGTACAACAGTCACTTTATTACTTGCCTTAAAGGACGGGTCCACTGCCCCACCCCTGGGGCTGCGAGTTGGTGTAGGAATGGGCAGCAGCACACGGGATATTTGCAGAGGGCATTTAGAGCATAAAGCGAATGCTCTGTTTAGCTGCCCATCGGTGGATCAGAATTCATCCTGTTGAGCAGGGACTGGCCACATTTTGATTCATGTATGTCCATGCCTATTTGACACACAAAGGCCCGGTTAGGCATGTCAATGTGTTGTCAGGCATATTGTAACCGGGCTTTTTTTGTGGCATTGGTGCAGTAAAAGCTTCTTTCTGGCACCTCCACCAAACAGCTCATTTTTGTTCGAGTATCACCGTATTGTACTCCTTAACCTCCCTGGCGGTGTTCCCGAGTGTAGCTCGGGGTAGAATTTCTATACCAAGAACGGTAACCCCGAGCTACACTCGGGCTTACTATGCAGCGTTCTCTGGGGGTCCCTGCAGCACTTACCTTGTCCTTCGCTCCCACGATGGGTCCCCTGCAGTGTCCCCGTCCATCTCCTCCGATGCCGGCATCTGACTTCCGTGTTCCGGTCCCCGTGACGTCGGAACGTTCGGCGGCGGAACCGGCGGGAAATTTGAAATTTTTAAAAAATGACATTTTTGCTGTCATTGCTTTTTCACTGCATTTCACATACATTTTGTCCCTACTGCTTTGTCCGGCGCCCTGCCTGCATTTTGACTGTTCTTTCTGCCTGGAAACTTAGAAAAGTCCATGGCGTCCAAAAAGCGTCCCTTTACATCAAAAGCGGTTTTAGAACAGCGCGATAGTAAATCAGAACCACTTGCAGAATTGAGTGATAATGATTTGTGGGGGAAATTCGTCATCAGACACTGAAAACGATTTTGCGACTTTGCTCAGCGATGTGCGAATTTGCCTCTGTATTTCAAATTTCAGTGTTTTTGGTTTGATTATATTATTGAATTAAATTTATTATTATTATATTATTATTTTTTATGATTATTTATTAAATTATAATTTATGATTTCGTGTTTCAAGTTTTATCATATCCGGAATGTTTAATAGACTCTTTTTCGGATAGATTTCAGTGAGTTATTCCTAAAAATTACAGCCTACAATTAAAAACTACATATTTACATGCAAAAAAATGGTACCGCTTTCAGCACAAAATTCCTGACATGATCATACCGCCAGGGAGGTTAACCACTTCCTGTCCGGACACTTTTACCCCTTCCTGTCCAGGGCAATTTTTAGCTTTCAGCGCTATCACACTTTGAATGACAATTGCGCGGTCATGCAATACTGTACCCATATGAATTTTTTACTATTTTTTTGAGACAGATAAAGCTTTATTTTGGTGGTATTTATTCACCGCTGGGATTATTATTTTTTTTACTATGTAAATGAAAAAGTACAAAATTTTTGAAAAAAAAGTGTTTTTTTAAATAAAATATTGCAAATAAATAATATTTCATCATAAATCTTGGCCAAAATTTATTCCGTTATTTTTTTAGTTAAAAAAAAAAATCCAAATTAGTTTATAACCAAAAATTATAATTTTTAAACATTTTTTTTTACATTTTATTTTATTTCTTTATATTATTTTTTATTTTAATTTTTTTTTCTATATACTGTCACCCTAGCAGTACAGTGTCACCATGGTGACACTGTACTACTTGTGGGGGGTGATGAAGATTTGTTTTTTTTTTTACACTGATTGCTTTTACACCCATATAGGATGTAAGAGCAATCATTTCTCTTTCTCTCTGTCTGCATTCTTGCAGTCATTGAGAATTACTGGGTGAGCTGTGAGTGGTCACAGCTTGTCACATGGTACAAGGGTGTTGTGAATAGCCTCATGTGATCACTGATTCGCCAATCAGTGATCACATGATCGACTGATGGGACCTCGTACAGAGGTCCCGTTCCGACAATCGGTGTTCACACCACTGTGTCCGGAGGACACAGCGGTGTGCACCGGATCGCGGTGGTGCACGCTCCCAGGGAGCGCGCACAGCTTGAGAAAGGCAGGTGCCGTTTATGAACGGCAACCCGAACCCATGGACTGCCACAGCCCTGCCAATTTATAAACAGCAGGCTGGAACGGCAAGAGGTTAAAAACAACACCACACCATCTTTTTTCCAGAGCAGCCTGGATTTCTTTGAGGTTGCCTGTGGGGTTTTTCTTTGAATCCAGACACAATTCTTCTGTCAGTTGTGGCTGCAATCTTTCTTGGTCTCACCTGACCTTGGTGGCTTGTCATCCAAGAGATCCCCGAACTTTTCCTACTTCTTATTAGGTGATTTAACAGTACTGATTGGCATATTCAAGGCTTTGGACATCTTTTATGTCCTTTTCCATCTTAACAAAGTTCTATTACCTTGTTACGCAGACTTTTTGACAGTTGTTTTCTGCTCCCCATGGCTCAGTGTCCAGCTTAGTCCGTGCTTCCATCGTAAAGAGCTAACAAACTCATTGACTATTTATATATACACTGAACACGAATATGCAACATTTAAAAAAAAAACACAGATGGTGGGACATTTAACCTCTAATTGGCATTTGTTAACCACCCGTGTGTGTCACCTTGTGGTGTCTGTACCACAAGGCCAAACATTCCAGGGTGAGAGGAAACTTTTGATCCAGGGAGGCGGAGACTTCTGATCCGGGCCATTTGGGTGATTTCTGTTGTATGATTTAAAAATGAGCCAAACAACTCTATCATGACAGTAAATGCTTCGATGACATCATCCATCCTTCAATAAAAGAGCATTTTTTGGCGATGATCAAGTCATATTTTCAATATCAGTGCCAGAAAATTTCACAATTTTTTTTGCCGAGGGATGCAAAACTTTTGAGCACAACTGTGTGTGTTTATTTGGGGGAACCAGGGGGGATTTTTTTTTTTTTACTTGGGTTTTTTTTTTTTTCTGGCCTTTTTTTTTTTATCACTTGGGGGACATAAAGTCCCTCTATGTGATGATTTTTAGGTGACTGGTTCTCTTTAATGAGACGTGCAAGTTCTGAAATGGACCCCCTCAATGCAATACATTCCTCCCCAGCTATTCTAGGTGGGGAAAAGTGACAGCGGTGACGCTGCGAAGTGATGTCCACACGTCGTTTTCTGTGAACCAGGGGTAATACAGTGATCAGTGCTAAACAATGACACTACTATGGCACTGGGCAGGAAGGGGTTAACATGTGGGGTGATCAAAGAGGTTTAACTGTGTGCTGGGAGTGTTTTACTAGGGAGACATGCTGCTGTGTGTGTCTTTGTTACTGCTCGGCAGGAGCGAGACCTGTTACGACCACAGTCTCTCCCACTGTCAGTGTTACTCGGCAATCGCCAGGTGCCTGCGGACGAATCTCCGTCCAGGACCCGGTGATTGACATCTGTAGCCGCCAATGGCGGCGCGGGCAGGGCAATGTGGCGCACTGCCACTACCCGGAACTGCAAATCACGTGTGTGTGTGTAATGTATATAATTATTATTTATATCGTGTGTATATATATATATATATATATAATATATACTATTAATTTAGATTATATATAGATTATAATTTATTTAATTCTATATATATATATTATTTATTTATTTAGCAATATATATATTTATTTATTTTATATATATTATATTTTATTTACTTATATATATATATATTTATATAATATATATATATATATATATATATAAATATATATATATATTTATATTTATTTACATTATTTATATATATATATATCATAATAGGTAATATATATATATAAATACACATTTATTTTACAATATATATATATATATATATATATATTTATTTATATATATATTATAATATATAACAATATATCATATTTATTTATATATATATTTATTATGTATTTATATATATTTATTAGTTAAATTTATTTATATATATTTATTTATATATATATTATATATTTTATTTATATAATATATATATATTTATTTATTTTATATATATATATATTATATTTATTTATATATTAATATATATATTATATATATTTAGTCATATATATATATATATATATTTATTACATTTATATATATATATCGTATAATTATTTATATTTATTTGATATATATATGTATATTTATATATATATATATATATATATATATTTATATATATATCTATATATATATATATTTATTAAAATGTACTATAGGATAAATATTTATTATATATTATATTTATTATATATATTATTATTTATTTATATATTATATAAAATTATAATATATATATATATATATATATATACTAAATATATTGTATATAATATAATATACTATATTAATTTATTTATATATATATTACTATTTTATTTATTATATATCTATTATATTATATATATATTTATAGGATATATACATATTTATATTTATATTATATATATATTAAGATATTATATTATATAATATATATTTATAATTTATATAATATTTATATATAATATCATTTATTTAGATATATTATTTATACACACACACGACTTTGCACCCTGCTGCCGCCGCCCTGTAGCAGTATATTTGCTGTAGGACGGTGGTAAAGCGGTTAATGGACATAGACCCGCCTTCATTACACAGCCCAGTCTTCATCCCATAGACATTCAGGAGAGTCTAGTTCTGATTGGCATTGGTACTTCACTTTGTTTTGCTCTTGGAATGGTGTTTGAATACGTCGGTTGTGAATTCTCTCTGCATGACAAATACTCAGCAATCTTTTACTTTACAGATGTCATCAGCATTGACAAAACCGGAGAATACTTCCGTCTGGTGTATGATACAAAGGGTCGCTTTGCAGTGCACAGGATCACAGCTGAGGAGTCCAAGGTAAAAATCTGAAAAAAGTGTGAATGTCTGTTTTAATGTTGGTGCTTTAGCCCCTAGATGAAACTGATCTGCGCATGCTGATGATCCAGGATGTAACAGTCTGACCCTCCATGTTTTGCATCCAGCATATATCACTATGAACCAAGCAGCTGGAGTAGGTGAACTGGCAATTCAGACCAAGATGGCTGTTTTTCTGGGCTGGGTGGGTTGGTGATTATGTTGCTGGGAAAAGACGTAGGCTGTGCCTAAGATGGCAAACAAAGCAACTGGATACATACAATGTAACATTTTTTTTTTTTTTATCTTTTTAGTACAAACTGTGCAAAGTGAGGAAAACTTGGGTGGGAACAAAAGGAATTCCCCATCTGGTGACCCATGACGCCCGTACCATCCGCTACCCAGATCCATTGATCAAGGTCAACGACACAGTTCAGATTGACTTGGAAACTGGCAAGATTACGGACTTTATCAAGTTTGATACTGGTAGGTGTGACGTGTGTCCTAGGCCAGGGCTTGAAATTTCCACTCGCATTTGGCTAGTGAAAATAACTTTGGGGCGAGTGTGTCCCAGGTAGCGCATCAGAGGGTGGGGGGGGCGCGGGTGCTACCAGCAGCACCAACCTGCCCCGAGCACTGTGTTGAGGGGGGGGTGTACTGCTGGTGATCACAGTTTCACTGCTGTCACATGGAGCAGCTGCTGACACTTGCTGGAGGGGGAGGACTAAGCTTTTTCCTCCCTCCAGCTTGCAGGGGGGCAATAGCCAGCCCACTAAGGAGTGAAGGCAGTGTCCTTCCTCTCTCCCCTTGTCATGTGACTTATCACATGACCGAAGGAGGGAAAGAAGGAGAAGCTGCATTCACAAGAATGTCTGTGAGTACAAAGGGGAAGGATGAGGTTACATTTATGGGGACACCTGATGTAAAAGGGGGCTGTGATGGAAACACCTTATATAAAGGGGGGGGGGGGGCTCTGATGGGGATACCTGATGTAAAGGGAGGCTCTAAAGCGAACACCTTATATAAAGGGGGGACTCTGGTGGGGACACCTGATGTAAAGGGGGGCTCTGGTGGGGACACCTGATGTAAAGGGGGGCTCTGGTGGGGACACCTGATGTAAAGGGGGGCTCTGGTGGGAACACCTGATGTAAAGGGGGGCTCTGGTGGGAACACCTGATGTAAAGGGGGGCTCTGGTGGGAACACCTGATGTAAAGGTGGGGACACCTGATGTAAAGGGGGGCTCTGGTGGGGACACCTGATGTAAAGGCGGACCTGGGCAAGGTTGGGTGGGGCAACTGGTGGAGAGTAAGGTTTTTGCCTGGCTAGTAGGTCTAGACTTGAAATTTTAAACCCTGCCCTAGGCTCTTGTGTGTCACCGTGTTCCTGTGCGATTTCACATGCAGTTCTGTGCAGTGTGATTTCAGCCCATTCATATTTAATGGACACTGCACCAATAGTAGTGCATGCAGTAGTTTTGGAAAGGCACTGCAACGTGATCGCAGGCTACTTTTGTACCATGGGATCTGGTGCGGCGGTGTTTGGGATGGTGGTTCGAAAGTACCCTGCGATCACGTTGCAGTGCATTTCCCAAATTAGTGCATGCACTACTATTGGTGCAGTGTCCATTAAATATAAATGGGCTGAAATCGCAATGCACAGAACTGCATGTGAAATCGCACAGGAACACTAACACACAAGAGCAGGGGCGAACTGACCATTCAATTACTCGGGCACTGCCCGAGGTCAGTAGGGGGCCCCATGAGATGCCCCTGGTGCCTTTCATAGGCTTTTTTTTGGATGTGGTTTGAGTGTGGGGAGGACACAGGGGCCCCATGATCTCCTATTGCCTGGGGGCCCCATGAGTTGTCAGTCCGCCCGCCCCTGCACAAGAGCCTAAAAATAAAATGCTCCTGCACTATCTTTGCACTGACACCTGCTGCAAATGGCAAGGGCAGTGAGATTTGAATGCGGTGCGGGAAACTGGCAACTGGGTTTCCCGCACCGCATTATGGTGTGAACGGGCCCTTAATAGATACTGTTAGCCCTGGTTCACACTGAACTTGGGCTTTGAAATCGCACTACTTCACTCGAAGTAGCTCCATTTCAAAGCCGCTGGTCAGTGCAGTTTTTCATGTTTGGCTTGCCTGACGTGTGTGACTTCATGTACAGATGTCTATGCAAGTCACATTTGAAATCTGCAAAAATAGTGCAGGAACCTCCTTTTTTTTTTTTTTTTTTTTTTCTCCAAAATTGGTGCCGCATCGAAAAGTCGGAGTTGCACCGATTTGAACGGTTCCATAGGCACTTGTGACTTGTCATGCGATTTGGAACTGACAAGTCGCAGCGGTGTGATCCACGGCTTTATAATGACTTCATGCTGTTCCTGCTTTGCCTTGTAGTTATGAGAAAGATGGCGTCCTGCTGCAGCTTAGTTGCTGCTAATAGCCATGTGATCATACCTTCCTTATCTCTAGGTAACGTCTGCATGGTGACCGGAGGTGCCAACTTGGGTCGAATTGGTGTCATCACCAACCGGGAGCGACACCCAGGCTCATTCGATGTGGTCCACGTGAAGGATGCCAACGGCAACAGCTTTGCCACCAGGCTCTCCAATATTTTTGTCATCGGCAAGGTAATTCACCCCTTGTCCTATCCGTATTCATCTGTTTGTTTTTGTTTTTTTGTTTTTTAATGCGGAGTGCTTACTTTCTGTGTTTTGTAATACAGAGAAGACTCTTGTCAATCAGCTTGCAAGCAGTATAGATTTTGAAGAAGGTTGGGGGCTCCCTGTGGTATTGGTCTAAGTAGAGTCTTGAAAGTTTCCATGGTTTCAGAAAATATCTTGGGGGTGTTAATGCTGAAATTTTGAGGGTGTTCTGGGGCTGTTGTGTTTTAGGGGTCCTGAAGGGCAAGGGTGCTGAACGGTCATTAGGACCCAGTAGCGGCATATTTTTCAGTCACTAATTAGTACCGTTGCTCAGTAGCTGACAGCAGATGTAGGTGGACAAGAGCTGGATGGTGCAAATGGCAGTAGGAATGTTCCGGACGGTACGCACACCAGGGATGAATGCCCAGAACCCAAGAAATCTGCATTCCAGGCATTCATCCCTGGGTATATATTGCTCAAAAGGTAAGTATCACTAGGTGCCGTGTCCAGCTCCTGCAGCTGTCATAATATTTTTTTCTACTACTATTTTTTTCCTAATTTATTTTTTCACTTTTTTGTTTGTTTTTTTTTTGTTTTTTTTTTTTGGTAATATAATGGTTTGTACCATTGGTTTATGTAGCACAGCATTTTTTTCATTTCACTTTGATATATATTTGCCCCCACTGAGACATGGGCTGTGTGCACTAGCGGCTACAGCAATTTATTGTTTTATTTCACCATAGTTAGCGCTTGAGTTATTCAATATATTTTAGAGTTCATGCATTCCTATCAGGTCCTCTTGAAAAACTGACAGGCGCACATGATTGCATCGCCTGTCTGAAAGGGCCCTTAGGCCGGCCATAGACGGGTCGAAAATCGGCCGATTTTTCTTTTAAAAAAAAAACAAAAAATCGGTCGTTCAAGCGGCCGACGTTACCAGCAACGGTAAAAAAAATTGGCCGATTTTCATCCCGTCTACAGCTGGCAAAAAGTGTCCCTGCAGAGAGCTCCACTATTTCTTTTGACAGTTCCTTGACATTTATAGCGGTTGCAACAATGTATCTATTTGTATCCATTTAGGATATAGATGTTTTTATTCGGAAACAAATAAATACATTGTTGCAACCGCTATAAATGTCAAGGAACTGTCAAAGAAATAGTGGAGCTCTCTGCAGGGACACTTTTTGCTGGACTGGAATTCCTCTTCTTCTTCATCTTCTTCATCCTCTTCTTCATCTTCCTCTTCTTCGCCTTCCTCTTCATCCTCTTCTTCTTCTTCTTCTTCTTATCCTCTTCTTCATCCTCCTTCTTCTTCCTCTTCTTCATCCTCCTTCTTCTTCCTCTTCTTCATCCTCCTTCCTCTTCCTGTTCTTCTTCCTCTTCTTCTTCTTCATCCTCCTTCTTCTTCTTCTTCCTCTTCCTCTTCTTCTTCATCCTCTTCTTCTTCTTCTTCTTCTTCTTCTTCATTCTCTTCTCTTCTTCATTCTCTTCCTCTTCTTCTTCATCCTCTTCTTCTTCTTCCTCTTCCTTCTTCTTCCTCTTCCTCTTCTTCCTCTTCCTCTTTCTTCCTCTTCCTTCTTCTTCCTCTTCCTCTTCTTCCTCTTCCTCTTCTTCTTCATCCTCTTCTTCTTCATCCTCTTCTTCTTCATCCTCTTCCACTTCTTCTTCCTCCTCTTCTTCCTCTTCTTCCTCCTTCTCTTCTTCTTCTTCATCCTCTTCTTCATCCTCTTCTTCTTCTTCTCTTCTTCTTCTTCCTCTTCTTCTTCTTTTTTTTCATCCTCTTCCTCTTCATTCTCTTCTTCATCTTCCTCTTCTTCTTCATCCTCTTCCTCCTCTTCTTTTTTTCTTCTTTTTGTCTTCCTCTTGCAGGTCACTGCTCATGCGCATATTTTTTTTATCGGCAAAATCGGCAGATTTTTTTCCCAGCTTTACCGATAAAAAAAAAAATCTGCCAAAATACCGAAAAACGGCCGACCATTTAGCCCACTAACGATCCGAAAATCGGCTGATTTTCGACCCATCTATGGCCTGCATTAGAGTTGACATTTTAGCTGAAGGCTTTTAAGAAGTGGAACTAAACCCTCCTGTCTTTTTCAGCAAAGGATGCTGCCATCTTGGCCTCTGATTAGCAATCGCCGTGGTGCTTCACATGTCATCCGATATGGAAAAAATGTCACCAGCACACCAAGGATCACCAATATGGGTCCAAAGGTTTTAATAAACCATCACATAGTTGCCTTGCTGTAACTATGTGATCATTCATTAAAACCTTTGGACCCATATTGGTGATCCTCGGTGTGCTGGTGACATTTTTTTCCTTGCTGATTTTGTTCGGTTCCAGCCGACAGTCGCTGCAGCACCCACTTATACACACAGCCATTTTTAACGCAGGAACGTGTGCGTTTGGATCATACACTTGCATGTCATCAGATATGACACCAGCCTTTTTTTTTTTTTTTTTTTGTCATTTTATACATTTTTATTTAGTCTTTCAGCAAGGCATGTCAAACAGTACACCAAACAATAGCCATCAAAACAGACACACAGCACAATTCGGTGAACATACAAAGAGATACGATAACAGTAAATTGTCCCAGAAATACTGCACCGCTGCATGAGTCACAATAAGATACAGATTTGTTACCGCTGCCTGTTCCTCCCTTAGAAAAATGGTGTGTAGAAAAACAGAAGGCGTTCTGCGGGACATTTCTTATTGCGAGAAATTCGTAAACTGAAACACGGTTTCCCATAGGAATGCATTGTAAACCAATTAATCCATTCCGGAGGTCAGAAAAGTGAAAAAAAAAAGTCTTCTGTTCAAAACTCTTTATAAAGTGCACTTTAACCACCTGTCGGGTGGCCGTTTATGAACGGCCTCCCCGCACCCTGCTTGTGCGCGCTCCCTGGGAGCGCGCAGCACCGCGATCCGGTGCCCGCTGTGTCCTCCGGACACAGTGAAACACCGATCGTCGGACGGGACCTCTGTACGAGGTCCCGATCATGTGATCACTGATTGGCCAATCAGTGATCACATGCAAAGTAGTAAGCAAGATGTTACTTGTGACATCATTGCTTACTACGTGTGAAATCTGTGAATGATCACAGAGGTCACATGGTACAAGGCTATTCACAACAGCCTTGTACCATGTGACAAGCTGTGACCAATCACAGCTCACTCAGTACTTCTCAATGAGTGCAGGAATGCACACAGAAAGAGAAATGATTGCTTTTACATCCTATATGGGTGTAAAAGCAATCAGTGTAAAAAAAAAAAAAAAAAATCTTCATCACCCCCCACAAGTAGTACAGTGTCACCATGGTGACACTCTACTGCTAGGGTGACAGTATGTAAAAAATAAATAAATAAAAAATAAGAATATAAAACAATAAAATAAAAAATGTAAAAAAAAATGTTTAAAAATTATAATTTTTTAGTTATAAACTAATTTGTTTTTGTTTGTTTTTTTTACCAAAAAGATAACGGAATAAATTTTGGCAAAGATTTATGATTAAATATTATTTATTTGCAAAATTTTATAAAAAAACACTTTTGTTCAAAATTTTTGGACTTTTTCATTTACATAGCAAAAAAAATAAAAATCCCAGTGGTGAATAAATACCACCAAAATAAAGCTTTATCTGTCTCAAAAAAATGGTAAAAAATTAATTTGGGTACAGTGTTGCATGACCGCGCAATTGTCATTCAAAGTGTGATAGCGCTGAAAGCTGAAAATTGCCCTGGTCAGGAAGGGGGTGAAAGTGTCCGGACTGGAAGTGGTTAAAGGTATAAATACTGTACAGGAACATGATTAAAAAAAAAAGTTTGTAAATGCATTGAAAGCCAATTAATCCGTTCCAGAGGTCAGAAAAAAAGTCAAGTGTCTTCTGTTCAAAACTCTTTATAAAGTGCACTTTAAAGGCATAAATACTTTACAGGGACATGATTAACCTCTTCTCGTCGGCCGCAAACAAATGTGCGGCCTCCCGGCATCTGGGCCTAGACACCGAGCAGCCGCACATTTGCGTTCTATTAAACGTGTGCTGAGAGCGTGCGCTCCCAGCACACACGTCCGCTACTCATGGAAAGGTCCCGGTCTCTTCTTTCGATCGGGACCTTTCCCGATCGCGTCACGGCGGTCACATGATCCCTAAACCCCGCCTCCCGGCTTCTGAAAACTCTTAAAGGGCCAGGAGTCGCCGGCGTGAAGGGGTTAAAATTAAATTTGTAAATGCATTGAAAACCAATTTAATCTGTTCATTCAATTGTTAATTATTACTCGTGAGCTAATATGGTGAATTTCTATAAATTATTGAAATACAAATAAAAAATAAAATAAAAATATAAATGTGTCTTGAATCAAAAATAATAAAATGAAATCACCTTATTATACAAATAGGTTCGCAAACACATCACACCAACTCATAGGGGTTTATTTACTAAAGCTGGAGAGTCCAAAATCAGACTCCCTTCTGCATAGAAACCAATCAGCTTCTAACCTCAGCTTGTTCAATGAAGCTTTGGCAATGAAACCTGGAAGCTGATTGGTTTCTATGCAGAAGGGAGTCTGATTTTGGACTCTCCAGCTTTAGTAAATAAACCCCATAGTGTCAGAAGCTATATAAAAATAACTGTGCTGCACTCCCATATCGATGCAAACAAACTACAAAAAACTGTGTGTGTCCTCACAGTATACCGTCCAAACAACACACAAAAACGCCCAAATGATCCCTTTAGGATATAGAGAAATATTAGTGTAGTAACATCATTATGTGTCCAATATCAATAATAAAGGAAAATCCTCCTTTTCTGAGAGATGGGTACAAATGGGCGAATTCACTCCAACATATAGATGATTGCGGTATATATGAAGCTCAATTATACGCTCACCTCCATTTTTAGCCCAAAAATACAGGCTAAACAAGCTGTTGATCCTAAAAGGATATAATGTGCACCGATGTTCACCACCTTCTTTGAATGTGTTCAC